TTTATTCTTTTCGGTTTTCTGTATTATTAATGTAGTAAAAAAAAAAATTGCGGTGATTTGTTTATTTCACTTATTTAATAGTTTGTTTTGGACTGGAAAGATAAAGTTATTTATTTGTTCAATTTTCGGATTGATTGCCATAGTCTATTCTGTTATTATGGTGGGTGACAGTTTTTAATTTGTTTATTATTTTCTTTACTTATTTGGATTGATTATTTTACTTGTTTTTGCTTATTTATGTTTATTTTTATTAGTTCTGATGGTTATTTTAGTGGTAGCGATTTGTTCATTTATTTGAATTAATTTTTACTTGTTTTTTTTTTTCTTATTTGTTTTCCTATTTTTTATTTATTTTTTATTTACTCTATTCAGTTTTCGTTTTTTGAGTAACGTAGAAATTTTTTTTATCGTCGTATAACAGTTATAGCTATTTTCTCACCCAATTTTTGGATTGATTATTGTAGTCTATTCTAGCAGTTATTTTGGCGGGGATTGGTTTCTTGATTTATTTATTGTTTACTTTGTTTGGATTAGTTCTTTTCATTTTATGTATTTATTTTCTATTTTAATTTGTTCTATTTCGTCTATTCCAACAGGAGTAGTTTCTTAATTTGTTTATTATTTGCTTGGCTTAATTTATTTTTTATGCATCTTACAAACACACACTGTCTATTATATGATACATTATAATATATATAATCTAATATATATAATATTATAATTATATATTATAGCCATTTTTTTATTTTATTTTTTTTAAATGAGTATGTATTTGAAAATTTTTTAATGAGTATTGTATTTGAAACCAAATTAATCATTCATTCGACAGTAATTTACAATGGTCTGAGGAGACGCATCGTTATGTGTTGAAACATGACTGCAATTATGTAGTAATCCTTACATGTTTTTGTTGTGATATTCTATAATAAATAATATTGCTCTACAATATATTGAACCCACTTTTAAATTGAATGTTACGAATGTTGGAAGAATACTCTATTCGTTCTTATTGTACCTGGATATTGTAGCCATTAAATAGACTATTATAGTAAATAATGAATAATGATTTTTTTTTCTTGCCATCTTAAAACATCTGATTTTGTGTTCTATTCATAAATTTAATTACGTTGGAATATACTTTTTAGTATTTAGCCACCAACAACTTTTTCTTGTTGTCTTCAATACAAAGACCTTGCAGAATATAAATGCTAATTATGTGAATTTGCATTTTCAGCTTCTAGAATCGGTTGTAAACAGACTTTTGAAACAGAAAGTCTTGTACAGACAAAACATAAAATCTTTATCCAAGTTCATCATTCTTAAGTGCCGTGATGAATTCAGACAGAACCCGCCTCATTTCCTTCAGGTCAGTCGTAATTCTGAGAAACATTTCTGTATTTACGTCTGTTTGCCTTGCTTTATTTATGTCCATTTTTTTGTATTTGTATCTTTATTTTGAGAAGCTATCTCATTCTACTCCGTGTAGTTAGAAACCTCAAACATTGAATAAAGAATAGGATCTTTTCTGTTAATTCATCCCAAATAATGTAAAGTTATTTATCGCAAATATTACTTCACCCCCAAGAAATTATAAATTTTAAATCAAAATTTGTTCAGCTTGCCTCGCAACAGCTCCAACTCTCAGGATGAAAAAAATAATCAAAATTCAGAGAGTTATTCACATTTTCTAAGTGCGGATGATGTTCGAGGTACTTACAATGAATTTTTTTACAATTATAAAAAAAAGAAAAAAATCTATTTTTGGCTTGGGTGAGCACAAATGTAGAGCACACACTTAGAAATAGTGCACCTGAGTTGTCCACATTTGGAGTAATCGCAAAGGACAACCCAACTGGAGTGCAAAGGAAAGGCTTCACTCTGGGAGAATTTGGTGTGAATTTTAATAGATATAATTATTTTTATTTTGGGGTGAATTAGCAAAAAAGATTCTAGACACCTCTCATTAGCAAATCTGAAAATTAACACGGACTCAACAGCTTTATTATATAGGAAAAGAATTAAAATAAAAAAGCAATGGTTAGAAGGGGAATACCCACAGATATTGGGGAAGGTTGGTGCAAAAATAATCATTCTTATCCATCAACTTTAAAAACGTTATTAATTTAAAAAAAAATCATTCACATTCCTCTCCGGCCTTTTGAACAGGAGTAGAGGTTTATCCCTTGTTTCTTGTTTAGGAATGAGCTTCTGGTTCCTACTAAAGTCTATTTATTTTCTTATGTTTTGCCAATTACAACAATCATGATCTCTTTAAACCTACAGTTAGCTGTTATCTTTCCTGCATAGCCCCCAATAACTTCACTTGTCCTTTCTTATGCTAATACAACTCCACACAATAACCCTCTATCTTGAGTGGCCCTTGAGCCTTGTATTGGGTGAACATTTATAAAAAAAATTTCTTAAGCATTTAGAATTGGGCTAAAATCAATTTTATATATAACAGTGAAAAGCATTGTAAAAAAATGGTTATTTGTAAGGATCACTTTTAAATGCATTTACTAATTGTCAAAAGGTTTAAAATTATACTGACTAGTGGTGTGATTCTTTTTATAGCCATTGGTGAAATAAATTTTTTCTTTAAACATCTGTCTGAGTATTGTAACTATTTACATAGTTTGGACTGTTGTCCTTATCTTGGTTGTCATATTCACAACTTTTCGACTGTCCTCCTTCAGATGATATATGTTGGAATTTTGAACTGAATCCTTTATTTTGTCCACTGAGGTAGACTGTTCCAGTTCCACTTGCCATGCCTTTTCATGATATCGCAGCTTTCAGTTATTTCTCTTTAGTAACTCATCAAGTTTTTGTTCACCTCTGCTGTGGCCAGGTATTGAACTCACAACTCTTTAAGTCAAGTTACTAGATTACTTCAACCAACACTTTTTATCCACTGAGCAATCAGTGTATGAATTTTGGGGACTTCAGTAATGCCTCAGTAATCATTTTTTACCATATTACAGTTGTTGTTTTCCTCTTTGCTCTCTGGATCTCATATTTTATTCATGTCTATACTTGGCCGGCTTAGGAGATTTTTGTGGCCTAGCATATGTGCTGATTCCTTAAGTTTTCTTATTTTCCGTCTGTCTCTGTCTCTTATTTCAACTTCTTCCCACAGAGGGTAATGATCTCCCTTTTCCCTCCATATATGGTCAGCCACACCTAACTTTTGTATTTCTCCTCATGTTACAGACTTACGGTGTTCCTGCAGTCTTAAGAAGGCAATCTGTTTCTCCTTTATATTTCTTGCCACAGTTGCATGGGATGCTGTACACACAGTCCTTAATCATGTTCTCCTCTATGGGAGGTCTTACTCAGAAGAGGTGTCTGCGAAGTGTTGAACCACTTTTGAAGGTTGTCCTGATGTTATATGGACCAGAGATCTTTTGTAGTTTTCCAATAATTCCTTCACATAGGCAGATCGAAGCTGTTTTCTGAGTGTTGTTATCCCTTTATACCCTTCTATCCCAGTTTGTCGGAGTTGTTATGTACTCAGGGTAGTTGTTACATTGCATTTCTTGTTCATATGTTTCTAGGTCACCACTTATGACTTTTGTTTGGTGTTGTAGGCAGCAGACAAACCCTTTCTTTACACTGTATGAATTGTGGGAGTTGAAGTCTGGTGAATGTCAGCTTGTGGTATACAGATGTCTTAAACTCATGTACTGTTCAAGATATTAGTACATCCAGGAATGTTAGTCTGTTCTTGTTTTCTCTTTCCAACGACGAAAACGTTGTGAATATGACAATAAATATGACAACAACAGTCCAAACGATGTAAATAGTATAAACTTTTTTTTTTAAACTGTCTTTATTTTTTTTTTTTAAATTTCTCTTCCAGCATGCTCAACTTGGTGTTATTGAAGGAGACTTTGCACTGGCTATAAGCTTGTATCATGGCTATGAACTGCTTCAGTTGCATGGCCTTCGTTCATTTTACCAATATCTGCAAAGCCTTGTGAACCGAGAGAAGGGGTATGGAAGAACTCGTTCGGAATTGATGAAAAACGTAAACTTTGTGAATATCTATGATTACCTCAGCAACAGATTTGGAGAAAAGTATGTGATTTACATTTTGTTTTCATTTTTGCAACGTTTCAACCAATAAACTGGCTTTCATAAGGAGTATGTCATCTTTGATATATTTCCACCAGTGTATTATCTCCATGTAAGTTACAAGGCAAGGGAAGAAACTCTTGGCATTATTTCTTAAAATGCTTTAAAATAACCTTGTATGTGACACGTATCTTCAGGACGTGATCAATTATGACTCTTCACAACGTCCTTTTGACCTTTACCCTCCACTCTTTTGTAAAAATGAGTACAATTTCATTGCTAAATGAATCTTACTGGAAGACAGACAAAACCAGAATGGCCAGTAAATGAAGCAGCTAAAAAGTTCAGATAAAATCATAAAAAATATCTGTTTGAAAATACAAGGAAAAATACTACAGTTAGATGTCTGAAAAAATCCGGGCATATGCTAGGCTATGAGGACCTCTTTAGCAGACCTAGCATAGAAATAAATACAATATGGGAGCTTCTAATAAAGAAAGACAGATAAATGACAGCAAATCTTCAGAAGCAGCAACTTTAATCAGCATGTAGGTTAGGTTTAAGTTCACTACAGAAAATCAGGACAATGGCCTAGTGGATTAAAACGCAGTGTGTACTTGGACTTTCTTTCTTTTTTTTTTTTTTTTTAAGCATTTCACCCCAAGCAAGGTGGGAAGCCACTAGGATGCAAGGGGTTACAGAAAGTTTAGAGCAAGATCAGATAGGAGTGATAGAAGAAAGGATGAGGGTAGTGGATAGATCAAGGCAATTGGAGATGTCAATTGACATTACACTTGAATAGCTGGAGATTATAGCTCACAGGGAAACAGGAATAGGGAAGGGAGTTCCACAGGCGAGAGGTGCGAGACATGAAGCTAGAGTAGAAGAGACGGCTACATTTAGGAGTTTCGACAGTGAAGGGGTGAGAGCGGGTTGCCAGCCTCGTAAGGCGCTGGAAATCATGACGTCTGGGAACCAGCGAATGCAGCTCCTTGGAGATGAGCAAGCAGTAACTGAGCAGTACTCAAAATAAGAACTATACAATATCCCTAGGCATGGACAATGGAATGAGAACAATCTAGATTAACCTTTATCGTGGTAATTTCTTTCTAGAATTGTTCTCCCCACCACTGCTTTTTTTTTTTTTTTTTGAGGGTGCAAAAACATGTACACCTACTGTTTTAAAATTGTTATAAATTTCATTGTATTGTGCATATAGATTTTAATTTTTGTACACTAATAGTAACCGCTAGTGGTCATCATCGCTTTTCTCCATGTCGCTAGTGGTTATCATCTTCGACCACTTCACCATTAACATCTGCTCGGGTAAAGCCTTTAGTGTCATCATTGGAGTCTTAAAAATCAAAGAAAATCTGAATAAGGGCTTTGTTGGATATTAATACAGCCATTTTTGTTTACAAAAAAATTGCAAAAAATTAACATGAGTTAAATCAGTAATACACCTCATGTAGAGTCTAGAAGAATTCACAATGGCATTGGAAAACAGAAGTTTGGCCTCGTTCTAAAGCATTAGTAGGCGATTTCCAGCTTAAAATACAGGAAATAACAGTTGACAAGTGTTTATTTATAGTGACTATTTCAAGGTGATAGAATGCGCCTAGAGTAGTAAAGGGAGAGAATTCTACGGTAACAATTTTTGCCTGCAGTGTGGTAATGGTTAAATAATAGTTTCAGTTCAGAATTCTCTTTAGGTTACCCAGATCTATATACACCTGATGAAGGCTGGAGGGCACAATGGTTGAAACGTTGTGATAACAACAAAGATGAGGACAATAGTCTGAATGTAAATAGTGTGAATAGTAAAAAAGAAGTAAGGATGGTCTTTCAAAAAGATTGTTGTATGTCAACAAGTATCTTATTTCAGAAATTTAAACAAAGTGAATATATCAGATTTGGTACAGATGGTGTTGAACATTGGCTCCAAATAAATTTCACTTTGAACCAAAAATAAAAATTACCGTATATACTCATGTAACACGCAATCTTACATATCATGACCCCCACCCCCACAATTTTCACTTATAAAAAATGATTTTATCATGTATCTTGTGTATCATGCAATTTTTTTTTTTTTTTTTTTTTTTTTTGAGAGAGAGAGACCAAAAGACATTTGAGTAAGCTCATTTCCTCTATCTAGACTGATGCCTTGGTGTTTGAAGCTATTGTGGTTCAGTTGGCTGATTCTTTTATAAGGACAATATCAAGTGTATGAATGGCGGAGTCCTCAGTTGCCATTAAAGTCTGATGATCCCATCAAAAATGTTCATTCTACAGTGTAACCCGGATATAAGAGAGATTTTCTCTGGTCCCAAATTAGAGCCTGTGTTAATGTAAACAAAATAGACCAAACCCGGATATAAGAGACTTCTTCTCCGGTCCCGACAACTCTCTTATATCCGGGTTACCCTGTACTATTATCATGGCAACCTCATCAATAGTTCCTGTGTTAGGCAGTGTTGGCAGACCTTGGACTTGTTCCAGTAAAGTTTCCAGCTCAGCCTCCTCTCAGGTGCAAGATGTCATGGAATGAGCTGACAGAACATGATCACAGAGAGCGGAAGCTCTCTGCAGTTGACCCTCATGACAGATGCATTTGGAGATCTGGAGTGAGAACTACCATGTGTGCAGCTAGCCAGTTGCCTGGAGAGGAGACCACTGATGTGGACAATGCTCCCACACCTGCACAATAAACAAAAAACAACCAATAAAGAGGAGAGAAGACTTAAGCAATTGTTAATTGATAATTTTGCATACAAAATATTTATCAAATAACCCATAGAGGTGTTGATATGTCACTAAACAAAAACAACCAAATCAGATTGAGAGCAAAAGTTTCAAGAAAAACAGGATAAAGACTGTCATATGATGAATGTACGAACATATTTATTATTGTTGCTTTATTTCTTGATATTGAATATTATAATTACAAAGAATGTTTGTCTTGAGAATATTATTTTTCCAAAATTAACCTGATCGACTGTTTTTTTTGGCAAAATAAAGTCATTCTGACTACATATAGAATTTAAGTTCAAGTATATATATCCAATTTTGTCAGAATATGCATATCAGAATGGGAAGAGACAACTCAACACCACTGACTGAGCAACAGGATAACTTCAGACCAGAAAAACATAACATCTTTTATATAACTGAATAAAATTAAGAATTAAAACCTTAATTAGTGAATATTTTTCTTCAAGTAAGGTATTTGAAAAGGCAGCATGTAAAATATTAACCAGTTTTTTTCTTTTTTTAATTATCATACTTATTATAAAACCCAGCTTGTGTGTGTGTCTGTTCGTTTATATATTGGATTGGATTTCCTACATTTTTCAACCGATATCAACAAAACTTCATAGGACTACGTAAAATTACCTTGCGATGGTTCTGACAGTGCCCAAAATTGGAAAAACACAATTATTTTTGCACAAAATCAATTGGAAAACACAATTAAGAGGCATCGCGAGAATGAAAGGGGGACAACTCATATCGAGTTATACTTATTATAAAACCCAGGTTGTTTGTGTGTGTGTTCCTTTATATATGGGATTGAATTTCCTACATTTTTCAACTGATTTCAACAAAGCTTCACATTTTTTTTTTTTTTTTTTTTGGCAGGTCGTGTTTCTTATAAGTATGATTCTATTCAATCGGTAGACTCATAATGATTGAAAACAATGTTTTTGTTTCAGTTTGGGTTTGACCAATTCGTAAAAAAAAAGAAACAAAACAAAAAAAACTAATTAAGACGTGTGTCCGTCAACCTTAAACAATAATCTTTGTCAATTTTATTTTTCAGTCATTATGATGGTTGATACTTGATCTATCTCTTACTGTTACATCCTCGGGCAACGCCGGGCTCTACTGCTAGTTTTTAATAAAGTAAACCATAAATAAATTTATTTGTTAAGAAATTAAATCAAAATTCTTATTTTTATATGTCAATTTACTTTATTAAAAAATAATTAAAAAAAAAAAACCCAGAAAACTTGTTTGCATTTCACATATTTTAATAATTAAGATTTTAATCTTTAATAAATACTTTTGTTTTTCTGGTGCCGAATTGTCTTGTTTCTTATTTGTCCCAGCGTTTGTCGGTGGTGTTGGGTTGTATTGAACCTTATCATAAAACTGATAGTTTTTTATCTTTCATTAATGCAGGCCATCAATAACATTCAGTCAACAGACAACCCAAGAAAAGACTGAGCAGTATGTTATTGGTCATCCAAAATTGGAGAAGTTACAAGAAATTGTCTTGGAGCATTTCCGAAAGTTCCAGAAAGGTTGGCATTGTAATATTTTACTTTTTTTAATTTTCAGCAGGAAAAAAAAAAATTATCCAAACTTTGTTTTTCTTTTAATCTGCCATAATTTTCAAAGGTATTTACCTATCGCTATCAGTACTGACAATAAAGGGACAGTTACAATTTTGAAATGAATTGTTGATTCCTATGAAAGGATGGCCCTAGTTGTAATGTGAGTTCTATATATATATATATATATATATAGCTGATTCCTCGAGTGTATTGCTGGTAGCCACTGAAGAGTAGACGAACAGGTCCACCTACAAATGCTGAAGTCAGGATACTGAAGGTAACATCAATCAGCTAAATGACAAACATTTATTCACATTAATCCTATATATATATATATATATATATATATATATATATATATATATATATATATATATATATATATATATATATATAGCAGCTACCTGGCATTGCTCAGATTTAAAAGTTAAAATTAAACCTATAGCAACAATATCATTTCAAAACACAAAAATATCTTTAAACAGTTTTGACATTTCAATACTTCTTGATAGACAATATTCTTTGTCTTTCCTTGTGTAGTGTAAACATCAAATTGGTTTTACTTTCCACATGTAAACAACAAACATACAATTGCCCATGAGAGAAACAGGATTCTTCTAAGTGTTGTCCAGTAACTGATAGTCTGGCCTTGTACTTTGTTAATAGACATAGCAAAATTTGTTATACATTTTTATGAATAAACAACCTTTTTATTCTTTAAGAGTATATTATACTTTTATAGGGATCTCCACTATTTTGACAAAAAAATTGCATTGTCTAATTTAAAATGAATTTAAAAAATGAAAAATCGTTTTTGAAGGTTTCGTTGATGTCTGCCATTTTGATTTTGTAATTGTGATTTTTTTCTTCTTCCATTTCAGAGGATGGCAGCTCGGACACCCGTGTCATGATTTTCTCTCAATATCGTAACAGTGTGTCTGACATCACAGAAATGTTAAAAAGACAACAACCACTGGTAAAAGTGATCAGTTTCATGGGTCAAGCTATCAAAAAAGAGACAAAAGGTTTTACCCAGAAGGAACAACTCCGTGTAAGTCCAATTTTTAAGATTCTATGCTTTATTTTCTGCAATTCCCAACTGAGATTTCATGGATCTTTGGAGGTTTTATAGTCCCTCAAGTAGAAGTTATATATTCATATATATTCATACAATGACTGAAGATGTTGGACGTTCCTTGCACAGCTCCAGAAAGTATCTGACTTCTACTGACAAGTTCGGTCTTTACAAGTGTCAGGTCAGACCAAATAGAGTATTGTTGCCATATCTGGACTGGAGCTGCCCAATCTTCACTTTCCAACCTTTGACAGAGTTCAAAAGCATTTATGCAACCTTGTGGCTGATGACTTATTTCCCACCATGCAGACCCCCCCCCCACTGCAGCCCCCAAACTGACGAAACGTTGCTAGCTTCTTACTAATCTTTTGCTACTTTCATGTCAAATTCATTGAGTAGTGTGTCTGTGACCTCCGACTGGTTGGTTTGAAACTGCTCCTTCCCTAGTAGAGTAGAGGTTTATCCCTTGTTTCCTGTTTAGGATTGGGTTTCCAGTTCCCTTGAAAGTCTTTTCCTTCTCTTTCATTTCCGGTTGTCCCTTGTATCTTGGTGGCATTATCATCTTACTTGGAGTTGGTGCCTCTTGCTCTTATTTTTTGAAATTCTTTACTCCTTTGTAGCACATTTTTTTTTTTTTTTTTTTTTTTCCAGACTAAATATAAAGGTTAGTTTTTTTTTTTGCGTTTTTTGCGAGTGAAAAACACACTGATTTGGAAATTCTTGAAAAATTCAACTAATTGTCGGATTTTAATAAAAATTTCAGAACTTATTCTAAAATGAATTAAATTATTTTTTAAATTTCTTTTTAGAAAATCTTGGTAAAAAATATTTTTTTTTTTTACATATGTTATCGCCCACTTAATTTCATGAAATTTCGAGAAATTAAATTTTTAGGATGGGGATTTTTTTTATTAGTTAAAACAGGACTACTTAGAGAAAGTAAATCACCAATTTTTTTTTTTTTTTTGTAATACAGTTACCTGTTTCATCAAAAATTTGCTCTGAATTGTAAAATAAAAAATGACATTATTTAATTAGAAAAGCTTTTAATTGCTTTTGTAAATAAGTTATATTAAGGACACTACTGTGTGGAGAAAAAATTTTTTCAATGAATAATGAATTTTTACAAGAATTTTTTCATTTTTTTTTAAAATTTTAATTATAATAATTTATAATAGTTCAAAAATCGTTTAAAATTTTTCATTGCTTTCAAGATGGCGGTTTGGTAATATCGTTAAGTGAAAAGTACATTTACAAATTAAAATTTGAAAAGCTCATAATGGTCATTTGTGCCAAAATATTTAAAAAAATAATTTTTAGTGAAAAAAAATGTTCCTTTTACTCTTCTTGATTGTTATTTTACTAAATATTTTTATTTTATGTATTTATTTTATTTTGGGTCATACTTCAATAAATTAATTTTTTGTTTAAGGTAGTAAACTTAAGAACCTAGAGACGAAATGCAAATTTCATAAAGCTTCTTAAGAACGTAACTAAAAGTCAATAAAATATTAAATAATTGCTGAAAATATGTTAATTTGTAAAAATTACTAGGTAGTTAAAAACAAAAAAAAATGTGTTCACTTAGATTTCATAAATTTATGTCAATTCTGGTCATCCATACTAGCTGTCATCACCTCGGATCTTATTTATATGTCAATAAAGATCAAGGAAAATCAGCACCCATTGTTAACAACTGCTTATATATTACTTTTTTATGCTATAAGTAATATTTATTTCAAATCAGATTAATTTAACTATAAATTTTCTAATTTTACTCAAATAATATGTCACAAATCTATAATTTAATTTTGGAAGATTTTTAAAACTGATAAATTTGTTTAGTTTACAAATTTCTTAAAATTAAGAAAATGGCTGCTTTTAAAAAAAATTTAATAAAAAATCAAACCATTATCTGGCATTCCAATCTATATAATTTATATCTGAAATACACCAGAATATTTTACTTACTGAAAATAATAAATTTAATCATTTAGCTTTTACATTTTTAAAATTTAATTTTAAAACTTTATGTATTGAAAATTCAGTAGACGTACCTAGTTAAATATAATTGACAGAACTGCCCAACAAACAGAATTGACAAAGTTTGCAATAAACAATAAGAAAAGAAAAAACAGACAAATATAATACTGAACAAACAATAGTAGGCAAAGCAACAGTAATAAGGCAAAATGTTCACAAAGTAAAAATGGTCGTGTTTTCTTATTGTCAATATGCCATTCTTTGTTGGTCCCTGAAAAGTTTGGTATCAGGTAGTTTTTCAAAGAAATAAGACACATGCATACACATAGCAGTAGTAGGATTTGAGACTCTGCCAAAACCCTACATGTGTGAGGTTTCAGATTGGTCATAGGTATATTTACCTGGCCTCTCCACTAAGGCAGGGTATGACAGAAGTTCATTTTAACATTTATACATATGGACCAAGGACAAAAAAATTTTGCCTAGTTCCCACATTCACTGTCACACTGGCATTGATATTAGACTGACTCCCTGTGGGGAGGCAGGGATGAAGGCTCAGATTGTCAGTGGAAGAAAAATGGTGCTTTTTAGAAAAGTAGAGCCCAGCGTTGTAAGAGATAGATCAAGTATCGACCATCATAAAGACTGAAAAATAAAATCGACAAAGATTATTGTTTAAGGTTGACAGACACGCATGTCTTAATTAGTTTTATTTTTTTTTACGAATTGGTCAAACCGAAACTGAAACAAAAACATTGTTTTCAATTGTTATGAGTCTATCGATTGAATAGAATTTTATTATAAACAATTATGTTGTAAATGGAATTTTTAAAGCATTCTGAATGTAAAAATAAAGAAAAAGTGTGCAAGACAATAAGAAACACTACCTGCTAAAAAAAAAGTGAAGTTTTGTTGAAAAATGTAGGAAATCCAATCCCATATATAAACGAACAAACACACACTATCACACACACACACACACAAACAACCTGGGTTTTATAATAAGTATAACTCGATATGAGTTGTCCCCCTTTCATTCTGGCGACAGAATTGTGTTTTATCGTGTTTTCAAATTGATTTCGTGCAAAAACAATTGTGTTTTTCCAATTTTGGGCGCTGTCAGAACCACCGCAAGGTAATTTTACGTAGTCCTGTGAAGTTTTGTTGAAATCGGTTGAAAAATGTAGGAAATCCGATCCAATATATAAATGTATAGACACACACAACTGCGTTTTATAATAAGTAAGATGTTCAGATTTTTTTTTTTTTTTGAAAAGCTGTTAAAAGGTTTTTTTTTTTTATAAACATGTTTTACTTTTTTCTAACATTTTTAAAAGTTTTTGAAAAATGTTTAGATATTTTTTAGATTTTTTTTTTTTTGAAAATGTGTTTAGATGTTGATTTTTAAAACATGTTTAGATTTTGTTTTTGAATACTTTTTTTTTTTTTTTTTTTAGAAAACCTGATTAGATGTTTTTTTTTTTTTTTTTCTACTGAGAATTGCTGTATTTTGCTTCATGTCAGTTTGGAGTCTCCATCTTCATCAATTATTTAATGACTTGTCATTTTCTTTTCAGGTGATGAAGCTGTTCCGAGAAGGTAACTACAATACATTAGTATCTACGTGTGTTGGGGAAGAAGGCCTTGACATTGGAGATGTAGATTTAATCATATGTTTTGATGCCAGTAAAAGTCCTATTCGGTTGGTGCAAAGGATGGGACGAACTGGACGAAAAAGAGACGGTCGGATTGTCATGTTAGTGACAGAGGGTAAAGAGGATATGGTAAGTAGTCTTCAGCTTTACAGATTTATTATGAGTTTGGTCCTCACCTGGTGCTCCATACCTATGACTTTGAGCCAGTTAATAGCAACATTTGAGGGATGATATCTCGTCTTCTTCAATCCTCTGAAATTCTCTTTTAAAAGACAAAGTTCTTTTTACTTCTAAACAACATTCTGTGGATCCTGATAATGTTGTTTGTCACAAGTGTGAATTTAATTGGTACTTTCTCACATTTCTTGTCCTGGAGATGATGATAAACTACATCCGCATCCCCAGTAAGACATTAAACTATATCCAACAGCAAGGCCTCTGATCAGCAGGTTTTGTGGAGAGTGGAACCGCCTCTTAATTGCTGGTGTTCCCCGGTCCATCCTAACCCAGGGTGGAAGCACCAATTACGGTCCCAGCTATGGGCAAATAGTTGACCCCCAATCTAGGGTCAAAATGCTGTGGAGGTGTAAAAATAGGTATTAGTACCAACAATACAGTTTTAAAGAAAAAGTTATTACCAGCAATACATTTTTGAAGGAAAAATTATTACCAGTAATGTGGTTTTGAAGGGGAAAAAAGTGGTCTGGCCAGCACTTGTTGTTTGTAGTTTGATATCAGTTCCCGCTTCCCCTGGGATAAGATACTTACGCCCCCACCAATCGCTAACATAAATCCATTCTCATTAACAAGAAGAGGACTGACATTGAAAATAAATTTAAAACAATGCTCTGAGACAAACACTTAGAGGCTGATGATAGCTGTGTATAGAATGGCTTGAAGTAGACTATGTCTATGTTGAGGTAATTTTTCTTTTTGCTGTAAAATATATATATATATAATTTTTTTTTTTTTCAGTTTAGAAATCTGTTTTTGTTTCATTATAATTCTTAGTGAGAAAGTGGAACACTATATAAATGTTATTAAAGAAAAAATAGAATTATCAAAATTTTTGAAAAAGTCTAATTCATAAAATTTGGCTTTCTGAAATGACAAAAGCCCCTCTCCACCTCAACCTCCATCACCATGTGTGATAGAAAAAAGAATGAATAAAACAAAAAGACAAAATTTTGTTTTGTCCTACTTTTTTTTCTTTATTAAATCAACACAAGTTCATAAAAATTAGTTACTAAATACTGTAAACTATAGGAAAGCAGTAGGTAAGGGGGTGGGTAGATGTATGAGAGCATTCTCAACTTTATTCGTTGATGTCTGTCGGCCGAGTGAGTTAGTAAAAGCAAACATAGCAACAAATAAAAATGGCAGTTGGCAAATCTAATTGTTAGAAAATAGAAAATTTCCATTTGAAAATTGCAATTTCTGTTTCAAGTAGACCATTCTGTTTTTCAGTCTTCCCCAGAAAATAAGTCCCTCTCTTCTCTCTGTGTGTGTTTGTGTATATATATATATATATATATATATATATATATATATATGTTAGATAAACAAAAACATTAGAAAGCAGGACAAATTATGAAAGACTTGTATATAAGCAAACACAAATATTGAAAAGTTTGATAATTGTGAAAAAGATAGAAAGAAAAAAAAAATATCAATCAGAATTTTTGCCTAAAATACTCAGATTATGATCTCATTATTTATAATGGAAAAGAATTAATCTCTGCTACCTTTTTGACAGTTCTAACATCTAAACTTAAAAAAATTGAACATTAGTAGAAAATGTAAATATAAATTTAGGTAAGTAAAACAGAAAGTAAAAAAAAAGACAAATAATCTTCAGGTTAGTTGTACAAAATTTATATGCTTCATTTTTCTTTGTTTTCGCAAGTGCTGCTGTGCATTTCTTCCTACCATTTTTTCTTTTGTAGATTTACAAAAGAAGTCAGTACAATAAAAACAGTATCACCAAAGCCTTATTGAATGGTACCAAGTCGCTCCATTATTACCAACACAATCCCAGAATGTTACCTGATGGACTGATGCCACAGTGTCATAAAATGTATATTACTATCAAAAAGGAGTTTGAGACTTTGGACCAGGCAAAAGCCCTTAAGAAAAAAGAGAAAAAAACAAAGATTGCTAAAGGTGAGTGTGTGTGGGTGTTTATTTTTTTTTTTTTTTAAGATGACATGTTGCAGGGGAGACTGGGTTCTATAGTCTTGAGTGGCAACTAGTCGTGTAGAAATAAAGTCTGAATTCAAAACTGTATGTAGCCCTGGTGTAGCACGTACTATACAGGTTCATTTGCATTGGCTCAATCATCCCAATTACGATCAAATGATGATATATAAGCAATATAAGCGGTCAAATGACAATGATGATGATGATATGTAACCATTTTAACATCTGTCTATATTTCTGAGATGAGGTATTGTAATAATTTATTTTTATTTTATATATCACCTGAAGAAGGCTGGAGCATAGAATGGCCGAAAAGTCGTGAATATGTGATAAAGATGAGAGCAACAATCTGAACAATGTAAACCATTTTGTCTCTAAAACAAAACATCTTTTATCTATGTTAATTACAGACAGACTAATCTTCACATTGTTGTTGTTGCTATTATCATGATGTTTCAACTGCTGTGCCTTATGGCCTTCATCAGGTGTATGCTGATCAAGGTAACCTTCAGTGAATTTCAAACTGAACTTTTTATTCCATCAACAGAGGTAGATTGTTCTCATCCTACTGACAGTGTTGAGAGATATCTCATCTTGGTTAATTGACCAGTTAAAAAATAAATGATGTGGCAGTAAACTAGCCAAGCTTGACAAAGAAGCAAGAAAAACATTAGGTCTAAAGCCCCATGTTCTTATTTATGGGCTTAAATTATTGGTTTGTGAGATATATATATATATATATATATATATATATATATATATATATGAATTAAGTCCAACAATTATTTAATATATTTTCTGTTTATGCATTATTTTAATAAATACAACTTATTTAAGTAAATGCTCTGTTTTTTAAGAAACAGTAATAATTACATTTACTAGTTTGAATGTTCGAGAAATTTAATGGAAAATATGTGCTTCTCCAACAGGAATTGAACCTGTAACCCCAATGGGAACCATCATTTGATCTGATGTGTTGTTAACCATTAGGCCACAAAGAAGCGTCTGGTTAGCAAAGTCCGAAATACTGTTTATAAACAATAAATCTTTGATGATCTTTACCAAACAATCATATTTTCTCATGAAACGTATCTTAACGTTGACATTGACAACATATGAAATGCATTAAGTTCAACAATTATTTAATATATTTTCTGTTTATATGTTATTTTAATAGATACAATTTATTTAACCCATTTCATAATATACTGTCAATGTTTACTGAAGTCATTTTCAAGAACTGTGTTTTATCAGTGTAAGAAAGGAATTTCCAGTGGTCAGGAATTAATGCAAGCATTACTAATAGAAAATAACTGAAACTGAGATATCCAGGCATGGCAAGTGGAACTAGAACAATCTACATCTGGTGGACTCAATAAAGATTTTGGTTTGATATTCCAACATATATCACCTGAGGAAGGTCAGAGCATACAACAGCAAAACATTGTGAATAGGACAATAAAGATGGGGACAACAGTCCGAACAATGTAAATAGTATAAATACCACTAAACCATGTTGTTTTTATATGGTGAGAAAACCAGATCTGAGCCTCTTAATGAATTTTGTCTTTTCTGTCAGTGATAATTCGAGTTTGTCAAGTATACTGACAGAAAATTTATTCAGGCGTTTGTCAGTTTTTGTATCAGATGCCTGATGAATCCTTTTCCCTTTAAACAAGAACTTGCTATTCCTTTCCTTCGGATTTTGTATCTGCTCTTACATGTTTGTTTTAGAATTGTAAAGATTTATAATTTTCACCTTAACATTTATCACTCTGTATGTGATTTCATTTGCTGTACAAGAAGTTTATTCTGCCACTGAAGGTGACTCTGATCCTCTGTGTGTTTGAATTTCATAGTTGTGTTGTCATATCCTGCTATGGCAACAGAAAACAACTTTGAGTGAAATTAACAATAAGGATGCTGCAATTTGAGAGCCCTTGAAAAAGAACGCAGTAGGAAGGAAATTAATATTAATAATGCAAAGTGCTAATGGTTAAAGATTTTTTTTTTCTTTTTTTCCCCTCCTTAGGCAAAATCAAAAAGATTCCTGATTTGTTTACTGATGAAAATTCCACAGATGGGAGATTGACCCCTATATCCAATTCCAACTCTTCTGTTCAAAGCAGTGAGTTCCAGGTAATTGTTTTTCTTGCAATAAGAAGTGATTGTCTGGCCAATATTTGACATTATTTTTTATTCAGAGTTTTACGTTGCAGATATTTCTATTCTAAACTGGACCTACTTTGTTCACCTTTTGATGGGTTTTCATATTATTTTATGTTTACTGTTTGTCACAGTTTTTTTTGGTGGGTGGGGAATTTGTTTCTTGAAAGTATTCTAGCTGCAAACATGTTTTGGATTGTCTCAATTTTTTTGGCCATGACAACAAGGTGAAGAATTCTTCTTCGATGTGCTGTTTCCCTTCAGCACATTGGTGATGATGACTCTCCACAATTTCCTGTCTTTTGTAGCTCTTAATAATTTTTGTCTTTTTGCTATCTCTCCTAAACTTTGTTCTGCCATTCATTTACCCAAGCTCGCTAGGTAGGTAATGCATTGTATTCCTCTGTCCCTCTTGCCTTCAATCTGTCCTGTGAGTATCAAATTTTCCAAACCCTCTTTCCTCATTATATGCCCTAGAAATTTCAACTGTCTTTCTGATGCTAAATATAAGTGTCCCTAGAAATTTCAACTCTGTCTTTCTGATGTTAAATAAGTTGTTTTCTGTTGCCATAGCAGGCGAGAGATAGTGGACAGGTGCAGGAGTCAAGGGCCAGAGGTTAAAGTTGTCTGTTGAAAGGTGTCAATGTACACATACTGGGAAAATTGTCAACCAAAATTTCCCTGAGAAAAAATAATAATTGTGAAAACAGAATGAGCAATTGTGAAGGCAGAAAATGACATCAGGAAGGCTGTCGTCATATAATTGCTCCTCCCGAAATAGGAGGGGATCTTCCAAAATTGGAAGTGTAAAACAAAACAAAAGAAGGAGACTGGTTGAATTTTAGTATATTTGCATACCCCCCCTATGCACCCTCACCATACCAGTAGAAAGGGACACCCATAAATACAAGTGCCCACAGGGTCTAAGGTAGTTGAAGTTGAGGCCTGGAGTTGCAGAAGCTGCGTCGGGGAGTTTAGAGATTTTTTTGACATAACACTTTTGCCAACCTAATGATGATAATAATGATAATTATCTGGTGAAGAAGAAAAATTCCGATGTCCATCCTTGAAAGTACGAACAACAGCACTTGAAGTTAAATCCAGTTGTCGCTGGAGAAACACTCCGACGTAAACCTTGTGCCGTTCTTGAAAGTACAAACAACAGTACTTGAAGATAAATCCAGTTGTCAAGTCTGGCCACCCTTAGAGAAGTTAGCCGAAATTTTCGTTCTGTCGCCATATATTAGAAACAGGTTGGAAAAAGAAAAAAAAAACTGTAAATTTTTTTTATTTTGATATAATTATCATCTAGTGACTTATTCAGGCGTCGTTTGTTTTATCTACAATTTTGTGTGCGCGTGTTCAACTCCTTGATTGAGATACCCCAGTGATAATTCAGCTTGACTCTCTTAAGATCAAAAATCACAACATGAGTAAGAGAGGTCATAAATTATATAAAACTGTCCGAATGTTCTTTTAATCTGATCACTTTCGGTTATACATTTAACCATTTTCAAGGATAAAATATTTTAACTGTTAAATAATGAAATAGTTTGTTATACATTTGCATGTATATTATTTGTTAAATAATAATGTGTTTTCATTTTCAAAACACAGTCAAGATATTGTGTCCATGTTCATAGTTGCTATTATTAAGTGTTGGTTTTTTGTTTTTATTAGTAAGGCTTACATTATTTTTAGCCTTTTTTTGCATGTAGATGATGCTATTATATTTGTGTTGCTGAGAAGTATGTTATGAATAGGTCTCTCTCTCTCTCTATATATATATATATATATATATATGATTTAATTCCCATAGGCTTACTGGAACATGGAGTGCCATATTAAAGAGATCAGACTGTATAATGAATTCTTTCGTTTCAGCCTGGATTGGACAATGGGGACAATGTCAGAGCATCAAGCCCACCCACCTATGAACTGCTAAGTGATGATGAACTCCCTGATCTGTCTCCAGAGAAAAAAATCTCTCAACCCAAAAAAGCTCTATGTGATACAAACTGCAAAGTGAAACCTAATTCAAAGACGACCAAAAAGAAATCGACTCAAAGAGAAAAGCCAAAGAGCAAAAAAGCAAGCAAAAAAAAGGAAGAACTGCCGCTTATTGTCATTCCAGATGACGACAGCAACTCCGACTTTGTGGAAGAACTGCCAGAACCTGCCTGTGATATTCTGAAAGATAATGGTACCATTAGAACTTTATTTAAATCTCAAGCAATGAGCTTGAAGCAAAAAGCATTGAATATGTCTTCATCTGCCACAGAATCTCAGAAATCTTGTCTGTCAAAGAGTAATCCTGTACATAACTGTTTGGTTCCAGTAGCACCTCCCCTCGAGAACATTTCTGAATTGTTAGATCTTCTGGAGGCTCAAGGCACTGAGGGAAATTCTTTAAATCTTGCTTATGTCGTGGATAAATGGGATAAAGAATTTAATGCAACAATTAGTCGCATGGACATTTTCTCAAGTTCTGAGGGAGAAAAAATGCCTACAAATATCCAGACAGATTTTTCTGTGATTCTGGCTTCAAATTCTTTTGCTCAAAATAATAATAATATTAATAATAATAATAATAATAATAATAATAAACCATTCTTTCATCTCACTCCTGAGAGAATGGACACAGCTAGGAATGATAAAGATGGTACTAAAAGCCCAAATTTGGTTGAATCTGCAGTTACATCACTGCAACGAAACTGTCAGGTATCGGACGTCTCTTCACCAGATTTAAGTGATGCAAATAACTTAAGTCACCATAAACGAAAGCTTTCAGTTGAGACTGTTGGTTCTTTAAAACTGAGTAAGCTGCATGATTTAAAATCATCTGCGGAAGAAAAGAATGAGAAGACTCAGTCGGATCCTTTTGGGGTTGATTACCAAGGTACGGCCAAAAGTCTGAAGAGCAAGTCTTTCACGGAGCCAGACAATGACGATTCTAAATTGGTTACGAGTTATGGTGACTTGTTTGCTGATTTTTCCCAGTCTTTTGATCATGCCGCAGAAATAGAAGACAACAGCCATTTACTGCCTGAAAAAACTGAAAATGGTCATTCAGGAACTCAGAACCAAACACCAGATGTTTCGGTTCATGAAAACTCAAGATTTTCTGACAACCTTTTCAATGAAGCAATTCTCCATGAAGATGATCGTCCTGTTTTTGATCTAACAACAGATATGTTCTCTGATGACGAGTCTGCTGATGATACTGGACAAAAATATGGTGCTGTTAAAACACATGCTACTAACCTAAAATGCAATTCAACGACTTCATCTGAAACTACCTCTTACAGAACACATGATCTGGCACCATCACCAGTGGCTTTAGAGAAAAACTGCAATTCATCCAAATTGTCTTCCCTCATTGTTTCTTTTGTTAACACCAAATTTCAAACCAGTGCTGCAAATGGCGACACGTGTAAAAATGATGATGATGATGACGACGACAACTTACCCCTTTTTGATTTGGGGCTCGATTTTGATGCTCTTCCACCAACCCCTGATCATAGAAATCCCTGTTCTTCAAAAACCTCCCAATCAAACCAGGAGTGCAGCACACCAATCCTTCTCCAAAATATTGCCCTATCCACACCGGAATATGGTTCGAGAGGGGAGAAGTCCTCAGCAGTTAAAGACATGCATATATCTTCCTCTTCAGATGAAGAACTGGGAGGATTCCGCTGTGTCCTTCCGACATTAAATGTAATTGAACATCTTCAACAGTCTACACCTTCCTCAAAGAAGAAAAGCACACCAGCAGCAGCGGATCTTTTCTCTGCTCGTTTTAGTGCCAATGAAGTCACATCACCTTTACATGAGAACAAGGGTGAATCCTCACCATCTCTATGTGCATCGCAAGGCTTTGATTTGAAATTTGATGAACTACTGGACGATGAACAACTTGATGGATGGGAGGTTGCTGTTCAACCAAAGGATGAAGAATGTAAGTCCATTATTTTGATTTATAATTTTAAGTTGAATTGGAAAATGTTATGAACAAATTGACAATGAAAAAATCCCAAAATTGAAATTAATTCTTTCATTGCTTAAGATATTTTTGTTTTTTTAAGTAGTGTATATTTTTCTTACATATTGTTATTTTCTTTAAATACGTATCTATAATTCTATCGTTCATCCATGCTTCGAATATTGCTGCCACATATGGTCCAGTACCCCTTCTATTTACCTTGAGAGCCTTGATGAATTCCAAAGAAAAATCTGCAATATTATTGGTCCTGATCTGGCAGATTGGCTTCAGTCACTTTCCCACTGCTGTAAGGTTGTCTCTGTCTTTTTTGTAAATACTTTCATGGTAATTGTTCAGATGAGCTTTTTGCTATGGTACCTTGACTTTATGAATTTAAGCACAGTACTGGCATTGAGATCTCATCAATTTACAGTTGAGTTGGCAAGGTGTAGCTGTAAATTCTGTACTAACAGTTTTTTTTCTCATACTTCTCGCTTGTGGAACTACCTTCTGGCTCTATACTTTCCAGCCAATTTAAATGCAATGTCAATCGTTATCTACTGTCCTCCCAATTGCTCCTTTCTCTTCTTGCTCATTATTAATATTTCTGTTCCTAATTCTTTCACACCCAGTAACCCCTTGTGTCTTAGTGGCTTAACTGCCTTGCTTAGGGTGAAATCGATTAAAAATAAAGAAAAAAAAATATCTGGGTTTCCCAACCTGGTTGATATTACCCACCAGTGGGCAATTTCAATTGATGAGCAACTGAACACAAAATGGTGGACAATTGTAAATTTTTGTGTGCAATATAGGATTTTGAGTATTAAAAAGGTATTTCAACATATGTTACCTGAAAAAAAAATATACAAAGCAGCTATACAAAGAACTTGTATAAAAATAACCCCAAAAAGCAAGATGCTAAATGGGAATAATTGAGTCATATTCTGAGATAAGATATCTCCACAAACAACACATATCTTAGTATTTTCTGTAGTTTTCAGAAGGGTGATTAACATTTAAATAGGTCTTGAGACAAAATATTTGGTGAAGGGAGGAGATGTAAATTGAATAAAGGAAGACCAAAAACAACAAAAAATATTTGCTGAATCTTTATTAATTGTTAGCACTTTATATTCTTTTTAATTTTATAATTATGAATAAAAAAGGTTAATTTTTTTCAACACCTGCAATGTTAACCTTATTCTCCTCCTCTTCTTTGTCTTTGTCTTCTTCTTTGTCTTTGTCTTCTTCTTTGTCTTCTTCTTTGTCTTTTTCTTTTTCTTTGTCTTTGTCTTCTTTTTCTTTGTCTTTGTCTTCTTCTTTGTCTTCTTCTTTGTCTTCTTCTTTGTCTTCTTCTTTGTCTTCTTCTTTGTCTTTTTCTTTGTCTTTTTCTTTGTCTTTTTCTTTGTCTTTTTCTTTGTCTTCTTCTTTGTCTTTGTCTTCTTCTTTTTCTTCTTTGTCTTTTTTGTCTTCTTTTGTCTTTTCTTTTCTTTGTCTTTTTCTTCTTCTTTGTCTTCTTCTTTTTCTTTGTCTTCTTCTTTGTCTTTGTCTTCTTCTTTGTCTTTGTCTTCTTTGTCTTTGTCTTCTTTGTCTTTTTCTTTGTCTTCTTCTTTGTCTTTGTCTTCTTCTTTGTCTTTGTCTTCTTCTTTGTCTTCGTCTTTGTCTTTGTCTTTGTCTTTGTCTTCTTCTTTGTCTTCTTCTTTGTCTTTTTCTTCTTCTTTGTCTTCTTCTTTGTCTTTTCTCTTGTTTTTGTCTTTTCTTCTTCTTTTGTCTTTTTCTTCTTCTTTGTCTTTTGTCTTCTTCTTTCTTTTTCTTCTTCTTCTTTTGTCTTCTTTTTGTCTTTTTCTTCTCTTTGTCTTTTTTTTCTTTATTCTTTTGTCTTTTTCTTCTTTGTCTTTTTCTTCTTTTTGTCTTCTTTTGTCTTTTTCTTTTCTTTTTTCTTCTTTTTGTCTTTGTCTTTTTTTTGTCTTCTTCTTTTTCTTTTGTCTTTTTCTTCTTTTGTCTTTTTCTTCTTTCTTTTTTCTTTGTCTTCTTTTGTTTTTCTTCTTTTGTCTTTTTGTCTTTTTCTTCTTTTTCTTTGTCTTTTTCTTTTTTCTTTTCTTTTCTTTTCTTCTTTTTCTTTTTTTTGTCTTTTCTTCTTCTTTTGTCTTTTTTTTTTTCTTCTTCTTTGTCTTTTTTTTTCTTTTTCTTTTTTTTGTCTTTGTCTTCTTTTTTTTCTTTTGTCTTTTCTTTTCTTCTTTGTCTTTTTCTCTTCTTCTTCTTCTTTTTCTTTCTCTTGTCTTTTCTTTTCTTCTTTTCTTCTTCTTCTTTGTCTTTTTTTTCTTGTTTCTTCTTTTTTGTCTTTTTCTTCTTCTTTTTTCTTCTTTTGTCTTTGTTTTGTCTTCTTTTGTCTTTTGTCTTCTTCTTCTTCTTCTTCTTCTTTTTTTGTCTTCTTTGTCTTTTTTTCTTCTTCTTCTTTTCTTCTTCTTTGTCTTCTTCTTTTGTCTTTTCTTTTTGTCTTCTTTTTCTTCTTCTTCTTTCTTCTTTTGTCTTCTTTTTCTTTTCTCTTCTTTTTTTTCTTTTTCTTCTTTTCTTCTTTTTGTCTTTTTCTTCTTCTTTGTCTTTTTTCTTCTTTGTCTTCTCTTCTTTTGTCTTTTCTCTTCTTTTTCTTCTTTTGTCTTTGTTTTTTTTGTCTTTGTCTTTTTCTTTTTCTTCTTCTTTTGTCTTTTCTCTTCTTTTTCTTCTTCTTCTTTTGTCTTTTTCTTTTTCTTCTTTTTCTTCTTTTCTTCTTCTTTGTCTTCTTCTTTTCTTCTTTTTCTTTTGTCTTCTTTTTGTCTTTTTCTTTTCTTCTTCTTTTGTCTTCTTTTTTCTTTTTTTTTTTCTTTTTGTCTTTTTCTTCTTTGTCTTTGTCTTCTTCTTCTTTTTCTTCTTTTTCTTCTTTTGTCTTTTTTTCTTCTTTTTTTCTTTTCTTTTCTCTTTCTTTGTCTTTTCTTCTTCTTTTTGTCTTTTTTTTCTTTTGTCTTTGTCTTCTTTTGTCTTTTTTTGTCTTTTTTCTTCTTTTTCTTCTTTTTCTTCTTCTTTTTTGTCTTTTCTTCTTTTTCTTTTTCTTTTTCTTCTTTGTCTTTTTTCTTCTTTTGTCTTTTTTTTCTTTTGTCTTCTTTTTGTCTTTTCTCTTCTTTCTTCTTCTTTTGTCTTTTTCTTTGTCTTCTTTTGTCTTTTCTTCTTCTTTTCTCTTCTTTTGTCTTTTCTCTTCTTTTTCTTCTTCTTTGTCTTTTTCTTTGTCTTTGTCTTCTTCTTTTCTTTTGTCTTTTTTCTTCTTTTTCTTTCTTTGTCTTTTTCTTCTTCTTTGTCTTCTTTTTCTTTTTTCTTTTTGTCTTTTTTGTCTTTTCTCTTTTTCTTCTTTTCTCTTCTTTTCTTTGTTTTCTTCTTTGTCTTTGTCTTTGTTCTTTTCTTTTGTCTTTTTTCTTTTTTCTTCTTTTGTCTTTTCTTTCTTCTTTTTGTCTTTTTTTCTTTTTTCTTCTTTTTTTTTTGTCTTTTCTCTTCTTTGTCTTTCTTCTTTTGTCTTCTTTTGTCTTTTTCTCTTTTTTTTCTTTGTCTTTTTTTTCTTTTTTCTCTTCTCTTTTCTTCTTTTTTTTCTTTTTTGTCTTCTTTGTCTTTTGTCTTTTTTCTTTGTCTTTTCTTTTTGTCTTCTTCTTTTGTCTTTTTTGTCTTTTCTTTTCTTTTTCTTCTTTTGTCTTTTCTTTCTTTTTCTTTTTTTGTCTTTTTCTTCTTCTTTTGTCTTTTTCTTTTTTGTCTTCTTCTTCTTCTTGTCTTTGTTTTTTTTGTCTTTTTTTCTCTTCTTTGTCTTTTGTCTTCTTTTGTTTTTTTCTTCTTTTGTCTTTTTTGTCTTTTTCTTTGTCTTCTTCTTTTGTCTTTTGTCTTCTTCTTTTTCTTCTTTTTTCTTCTTCTTTCTTTGTTTTTCTTCTTCTTCTTTCTCTTCTTTGTCTTCTTCTTTGTCTTTTTTCTTCTTTTTCTTTTTGTCTTTGTCTTCTTTCTTCTTTTCTTTTTGTCTTTTTTCTTCTTCTTCTTTTTTTCTTCTTTTTTTCTTTTTTTTTTTCTTTCTTCTTTTGTCTTTTCTTTTCTTTTCTTTTCTTCTTCTTTTTCTTCTTCTTTGTCTTTTTCTTTTTCTTTTTTTCTTTGTCTTTTCTTTTCTTCTTCTTTTGTCTTTTTCTTCTTTTTCTTCTTTTTCTTTTCTCTTTTGTCTTTTTCTTCTTTTGTCTTTTTCTTTTTCTTTTGTTTTCTTCTTTTCTTTGTCTTCTTCTTTTTCTTTTTCTTCTTTTGTCTTCTTTTTTCTCTTTTTTCTTTTTCTTCTTTCTTTCTTTTTTTTCTTTGTCTTTTTCTTCTTTTGTCTTTCTCTTCTTTTGTCTTTTTTTTGTCTTCTTTTGTCTTTTGTCTTCTTTGTCTTCTTCTTTTGTCTTTTCTCTTTTCTTTTCTTCTTTTGTCTTCTTCTTTGTCTTTTTCTTCTTTTTCTTTTTCTTTTTCTCTTCTTTTGTCTTTTTTCTTCTTTTTGTCTTTTTTTTCTTTCTTCTTTTTCTTTTCTTTGTCTTCTTCTTTTTCTTTTCTCTTCTTTTGTCTTTTCTCTTCTTTTTTCTTTCTTTTGTCTTCTTCTTTGTCTTTTTCTTTTTGTCTTTTTTTGTCTTCTTTGTCTTTTTTTCTTTTTGTCTTTTCTCTTCTTTGTCTTTTTCTCTTTTTTCTTCTTTTTTTTCTTTTCTTCTTCTTTGTCTTTTTCTCTTCTTTTTTGTCTTTTTCTTCTTCTTTTTGTCTTTTTCTTCTTCTTTTCTTTTCTTCTTTTTCTTCTTTTGTCTTTTCTTTTTGTCTTTTGTCTTTTTTCTTTTGTCTTTTGTCTTCTTTTGTCTTTTTCTTCTTTTTCTTTTTTTGTCTTTTTCTTCTTCTTCTTCTTTTTTCTTTTTTTTCTTTTTTCTTTTCTTTTCTTTTCTTTGTCTTCTTCTTTTTTTCTTCTTTTTCTTCTTTGTCTTTTTTGTCTTTTCTTTTTTCTTTTTTCTTTTTCTTT